AATGATGAAAGCGAAATTCCCGTGAATTACTATTGTGCTTGTATTAAGTGCAATAAGGTTTAAAGATTCATCAGGTAAAAACTTTGGCACTAAAAATCAGCAAGAACATATTAAACATTGTGCTGTAGTCTTGCCAAAGTCACAGTTGAAAATCCAGCAATGCTTGAAACAAAAAATTCAACCGTCTCCTCTAGAATTAATGATGTTGAAGCATAGACAGACCTTTTTCTGTGTTGATGGTTACCACTCATTCAAATCTGTTGAAAATAAAGGGCTTCTCAATTTGATGAAGAGCCGTGTTGAGTTAGGTGCCAAATATGGAAAGTTTGATGTTTCTGACGTTGTTGTGGGAAAATATTAGTAACATTTAATTTTTAATTAATTTTCATGTTATTTTATTACACTTGCAGTGTAATTACTTCACCAGTGTGTTTTATTACACATATGATGTTGTATTTTTGAGTTCTGCTTTTTAAATATCATTTGTAAAAATTTGCCTGTTTGGTAAAATTGCGACTCGTGCAGATGGGTCGTGGGTTGGGTTGGGTCGGGTTGGGTTGAAAAGTTGCATTTTCAGGCGGGTTGGGTTGGGATGGGTTGAGTTAAGTGATGGGTTGGGTTGGGTTGGGTCAGTAAAAATGGACCCATGTCCACCTCTGCGATCACCTCACTAACTCACTAAGTCATCATCTAGTCTATTAATTTGCCGTTACTTCATTTTATATTTCATTGTCAATTACTTTTCTTTTATTTTTTTTATTATTATTATTTATTTTATTCTAACTTATTTCAGTTTTCATGTTATAACATTTTTCTTCCTCACTTTTTGTATTTTGTTACTTACTTACTTGTTTAATTTGTACTACTGCCTTGCATGTTGTTACAGTTTCTGCGTCTGTCAGATCCTGATTTTTAAAGGATAATAATAAAAAAACAGTGCGTGTGTATGTGGTGAAGTATTAAAGGCGCTCAACGACCACGTCTGGTAAAACACTTTCTTCGAATCAGTTGTCAAACTTGATTTAAAAGTGCAATCGACTTGGAAATTTGTCATTTTCAAAAAACTTTTTGTAAATATTTATTTATTTCACAAAACCAGAGGGTTGAAAAAAAACCACTTATCCGGTAAGAAAAATGAAAAAAAAAATGTTCGAAAAATGAATCGTTTTTTGTTTTTTATTTGGTTATAAAATTTAAAATAAAATATATATTCCATATTACTTATAAAATATTAAAACAATTTCGAAAGACCGAGGAAGTTCAGAAAGCAAAAATTGTTCGCCATCAAGCGTTCAAAATAAATTTTCTCTAGTTAATTTAACATTCGCACCGAAAATTACCCCTAACATGGGAAATTAAATGTCCGAGTCGAAGCTAGCATCGCGGAAGTATTTTTCAAAGTTCAAATAAACCATTCAAAAAATTTCTTTTTCTTTTGCATCGGATTCAGTCAGTAAAAGTTTTTTTTGATCAAGTTATTGATTTACTGAATGAGTTAGAGTTAAGTTAGCTATTTACATGCCGGTCAAGTTACAGTTAAAGTTATATATTTTAGACTACTTATGGTTAAAGTTACAGTTAACTCTAACTATAACATAAGTTAAAATTACAGTTGGAGATTACTGAAATAACACTGGACCATAGTTGCATTGTAACATTTACCCATAATCAATTCCCATACATCTACCATATTCTACCACATCAAACTCTATCACACTGTGAGAGTTGTTTTGCCTCTGTTTATGTAGTTGAACGTGCAGGTGTATGTTTGAATGCGTTTGTCGTGTGCGAGTGTGTGTGGTTGAATGTGTGAGTTCAATATAATTCATAAACAACAATACGGTTTCATTCCTAAATCATCAACTGAAGATGCAATTACAGAACTACACATTTCGCTTCTCAATAATTTCGAACTCAAAAATTTTACCTTAGGTATCTTCATAGACCTCAAAAAAGCGTTTGATGTCATTGATCATCCACTAATGTTGTCAAAATTAAAGATCTATGGCATTCGAGGTCCTATCTTCAACTGGTTTGAATCTTATTTAATATCAAGAACGCAATATACCTCTATAGATGATTTCAACTCCCATCCTGGTATTATTCAAACTGGAGTTCCACAAGGCTCGATTCTAGGACCTCTTTTATTTATAATATTTGTCAATGATATATTTTTAGTATCCAACATATGCAAAACCATATTATACGCAGATGACACTAACATATTTTTATCTGGAGATAATCCAATTTACCTATTTTCAAATATGAATCATCAACTAAATAAATTCATGGAATGGTTTGAATTCAATAAATTAACATTGAATATAAAAAAATCTTGCTTCATAGTGTTCGGTCCTAAGATCAAAACAAATGACGTTATTTTTAACAATTTAAAAATATATCTTGGCGAAAACGTTCTTCCAAGAGTGTCGTCTGTCAGATTCCTTGGAATTATCATCCAAAGTGATTTGAAATGGGATGAACACGTCAACTTGGTTATCAGTAAGTTACACACAGTCATTGGCGTGATTTATAGAGCACGTAATAAACTTGACCAAACTTTAATGATTATTCTTTATTATTCACTTTTTTATCCGTACCTCATATATGGTAATCTGTTCTGGGGCTACAGCTGTGAATATTTAAATAATAAATTACAAATAGCACAAAAACGCTTACTGAGAATTTGCTTCTCAATTAAGTTTTACGACCATACTGCCTCCATTTTCACTGATTGTGGATTTCTTAACATCGAACAGATAAATAAGTATATAATTTTAATTTATATTTATAAAATCCAACATGTTGACAGCCACAAAACTATTTTTGTATTTGAAAAAATTACATCAAAGATCAGACAAAACAACATGCTGAAAATACCCAAAAGTAGGACGGGATTATATGATAAATCCTGGTTCATACGAGGTGTTAAAATGTGGAATGAATTTGGTTTCCATAATTCACAATTCTCTTCCATTGCCTCCTTTAAAAAAGCAAGCCAAGAAAAAAATTTTCGAAAGTGTTCTGTAAACTTAATTAGTTATTATTATTTCATACTCGTGATATTACTTTGATTTTTTACTATTATATAAATGTTTTAAACAATTGCAGTAACGTTGAAAATTTTAATTTTTCAATTTGAATTAATCATTTGAAATTTTTCATTTGTTTTTGTTGAAGATATGATGAAAATAATGAATAAATAGTAATATATCTGTAACACTGAAGATATACGAAAATTAATATAATAAAATTTAATTAGAAGTGTATCGATAGACAATCATCTTATTACTGAGAATATACGCTAATGATGACAATAAAGGCACATGATCTTTTAACAGTATATTTTGTAACAAAGATAAAGTGATTTTACTATAAATGAAAAACACATTGTCTGATTTTAAATGTTTTTTGAAGAATTTTTTATTAAGTAGTTATATTTA